TTTGTACATTTTTAAATAAGCCACATGCTATGCTTAATAGCCACATGCAAAATATTTTGATTTACTAACATGGCTCAGTCCTTTCTAAAGTCTTAGGGGATTTGATCTTTGCCGAGTTTTGACTTTCCCCAGGGTTTCATCAGAGTTTCGCCGTTTCACCAGAGTTTCTCCATTTTGCCAGAGTTTTGCCTGGTTTCGGCTTTCGCCAAGTTTAGATTCGCCATTTGCCAAAAACAGTTTCGCCTGCCAACACTAATCGTGCCCCTATGAAATGTACCCGGATTTTTTTATAGTGATATTATAGCAAGGGGACTGTAATCATTGTCGTATTATCGTTTTGAATTTATTCTTGCACATTTTATTTCATTAATATCATGCCGTCAACAATTAAAAAATTCATGTTGATTAAAATTAATTAAAAACAAGAATCAATTAATATGTTAAAGCAGCGTTTTAAATTTAAACTTAGCAATATGGGAATAAAAGGCTCATGCTGAACATTCCTAGATTATTTATGAAAATTTGTGAATTTATTTATTATTAATAATGTAATAATAAAACTTTAAGATATATTATTCAGTCCGGAAAATCTTGTAATTGTAAAGTGAAGCTGAAATAAGTAACAAAAAAATAAAGCACAAAAGGGATTAGTTTGTAAAAAGAATTAACATAAATTACTCAATTTGTTGCAATAATTTAAAATGCATTTTAAAATTTATGATCAATTATTGCTCTATAACAACTAGGTGGCCCAAACCCGTAAGTGTACATCTTCAGAAGCACAACTTTCCCCTCGGCATGCCCAATAAACTGTAACCCGAACATCAGCCCATACATTGCTAGGTTTATTGTTACTATCATATAGCCATACGGATGTGTATATGTTACTGTTCTGCTTATAAATCCTACCACACAATATACCACTTGCCCAAACAGGGTCGTGTAAAATTCTTTGATGGTGGCCATTGTAATCACTAAATGTAAAATGGCCTAGTGCTTGTGAGTCCTCAGGAGCACTAACCGTAATATTGAGATATGAATATCGGTCAGCGTATTCATAGTAGCAAATTTGTGCTGAAGGCTGCGGTACATCAAAATCTACCCAATTGGCAGATATAATTTTAGCACCACAATCTATGAAAAGAAAAGTATTAATTTTTTTCGAGGTTTGTGAACGACAATAAGTAAAGAATTGTTTTAAAATTATCATACCATCGCGTTTATTATTACAACCTCTGCCCCTAGGCCGACAAAAAGTACAAGGATAAGCACAAAACGTCTGCGCCTCAACATACATAACGAATAAAAATACATGCGAAGTAAATGGAACAATATATTTCAGATTCATGATTGTTATGTTCAAATTTCTATGTGCTATCTGTGTATATTTTATGTTTATTATTATGATTGCTCAAATTATATTTAAATTTCTAAATGCTTTCCGTGTGCCTATATATATGTTTTGCTGAAGAAAATCTTTTCTTGTATTAAGCGTTTACAATGTCATATCGTAATTTCGAACTAATAAGGTAAATTTACAATGTTCGTACCAACGTTAATACTAACGTCGTACTAACGTTCGTACTAACGTTAATACTAACGTTCGTACTAATATTAATTAATACTAAGGTTCGTACTAAAGTTAATATTAATGTTCGTACTAACGTTAATATTAACGTTCGTACTAACGTTAATACTAACGTTCGTACTAACGGTAATTCCAATGGTAGGTTGTTGCTTGTAATAAATTTTTCTATATTTTATGGATCGGATGAGCATTTATTGTACCTAGCGTACATTTTGAACATAGTGAACATGTTTCACATAGAAAAAATGCAATAAATTAGCATAGCGAACATAGTGTACATAGTGAACATATTGAACTTATTAGGCATAGTCAAAATGTCTATAGTGTACTCAATAATCTATATAACTAAAAAGACGTGTATTTTCTGTCTGTTTACGATTAGGATGCAGAGTGGACCGGGCTAAACCTGTAAATTAGTTGGCCTGGCCGGACTCCGGCCTAGTTTCGGGCCATTGTTTAAGCCACAAAAAAGTTGATATTTTGTTTTGCATTACATAGAATTCAAATTTCGATCGGACGGTCGGAGCGTTTTTTTTTTGTTTTAAATTAATATACGGAACTTTCATATAATCTTTAATTTCTAAGACTTTCTTGAAAAGGCATTTTAGTTGTTCAAGTACTATAGCCATGATTCAGTTTCTCAAACTTTCGAATCAGTTAAATTATAAGGTATCAGAAAACTATGTTGTGTTTAATTATCGGTAACTTAACAGACACATGAGTGACTTGTAATAGCTATGTACTAATCCATTAGCAAAATCTGCATTCATTCCCAAAATAATGAAAATTTTCAATTTATCAAAAATTGACCAAGAATTGGGAATGATTTATCTTTATGCAGAGATTGTTATCAATATGAAACTAGAAAAGATACTCTTAGAATAGACCTAGATCTTACACATTTATCGTAGACCTAATTGTATGTAACTTTAAAAAATTATTATCTATGGGGTTCACATTGAATTTGTAAACCTCAGGTCTAAAGCTAACCCCAAAATTTCCAATTAAAAGAGATGATCATACGTATATAGCTCATTATGTTGACCAAATAATTAACTGTGCGACACTGTCGCGCCACACCAGGATGAATATAGAAATATTAGATAACTCTGATGCAAAATAGTTATATATATTGATCAGGTTTTGATGCTTGAATTGATATCGGGTGACACGTTTCCAGCAATAGCCATTAGATCCATTGCTTAAGTCATGTCTAGAGCCAGGCCAAGCCATACAAATCGTTAACGGTTCTAATAAAATAATATTATACGGCATTTTCTATGTATCGGATTTTGCATTTACAAACTGTTATCTGGCATTTGAATTTTATCATTTTTATGCACGTGGGTTACACACGTTATCCGAATTATTTTAAATCCGTACCGGATTTAAAATATATGATAAAATTTCAAACCGGTCAACAGTTAGTATGCAAAATCCAATAAATATAAATGCCGAATAATCCAGTTATTCA